GCTTCGCACCCCAGGGGTGGCTTCATGCCTTCAATCTGTGACTCAGGAAACCGCGCCACCATTCGCTTCTCCTCTTCCACCTGTTCCTCTTAGCCCTGGCTTGGGCTGTCAGGACGACCTTCCGACCCTTGGTACCCGTTGCCCCAATTCCTGCCCTCACCGATGGGCCTCCACAACTGCACCTCATCCATTGCTGCTGTCCAAGTTATCTCCCCTTTCTGGCTCCAAGTCCTCCTCGTCCACTTCTGGCCCCATGCACTCTGTCTGGGTGCTCCACTACACGAGAACAATCCCGCTGGGGTTGGTCCTCCGGCGGACACAACACAACCTACCAGCCCAAAGCAACTCAGCCTGGGTACTTCACCGTGCGAGAGCAAACCCCTGGGGTTGGCCTTCCGGATACATGCGACCCTTCCTCCTGGCCCCAAGGCAACTCAGCCTGGGTGCTTCACCGCACGAGAGCATACCCCCTGAGGCTGGCCTTCCGGATAAACATGACGCAACCTAGCGACTCAATGCAGCTCCACCTGGGTGCCTCGCTGCCCGAGCGCAAACCTGCTGGGGCTGGCCTTGCGGATAAACCCAACACAACCTACCTGCCCAAGGCAGCTCCGCCTGGGTGCTTCACTGCGTGCTTCACCGCGCAAAAACCTGCAGGTGCTGGCCTTGCAGATAAACGCAACACAAACTACCTGCCCAAGGCAGCTCCGCCTGGGTGCTTCACTGCACGAGAGCAAAACCTTGCTGGTGCTGGCCTTGCGGATAAACGCAACACAACCTACCAACCCAAAGCAACTCAGCCTGGGTGCTTCACTGCACGAGAGCATACCCCCTGGGGCTGGCCTTCCAGATAAACGCGACCCAGTCTACCGGCCTAAAGCAACTCTGCCTCAGTGCTTCACTGCACGAGAGCATACCCCCTGGGGCTGGCCTTCCAGAAAAACACGACCCAGTCTACCGGCCTAAGGCAACTCAGCCTGGGTGCTTCACCGCGCGAGAGCATAACCCCCGGGGCTGGCCTTCCGGATAAACGCGACCCAGTCTACCAGCCTAAGGCAACTCAGCCTGGGTGCTTCACCGCGGGAGAGCATACCCCCTGGGGCTGGCCTTCCGGATAAACACGACCCAGTCTACTGGCCTAAGGCAACTCAGCCTGGGTGCTTCACCGCGTGAGAGCATAACCCCCGGGGCTGGCCTTCCGGATAAACACAACCCAGTCTACCGGCCTAAGGCAACTCAGCCTGGGTGCTTCACCACGCGAGAGCAAAACCTTGCTGGTGCTGGCCTTCCGGATAAACACGACCCAGTCTACCGGCCTAAGGCAACTCAGCCTGGGTGCCTCACCACGCGAGAGCATACCCCCTGGGGCTGGCCTTCCGGATAAACTCTTCCTATGCTACTGGCCTAAGGCAACCCAGCCCTGGTGCTGGCCTTCCAGCTAAACGCATCTAAGCCTACCGGCCCAAGGCCACTCAGCCTGGGTGCTTTACCATGCACCCCCTGGGGCTGGCCTTTCGGAGCAGCACAATGCAACCCGGACGCTTCTCTCCCTGAGAGCATCACCCGGGTAAAGCCTACCGGCCGTGGGCACTCATTATTGGGCAGACTTCCAGAGTCTAGTTGCTACCCGATGAGCGCAAGGCGGTCTGGGCGCTTCGGTGGGCTCCAGCTGGGCACCTGGCAGTAACCCGCGGTGGTAATAAACCATGCTGAGCTAAACCTCAAAGCAATGACCTCTCCGCCGCGGCGCCATCCCCTCATAGCCGGATCACCCCATTCCCCAGCAAAACATGCGTAGTTGCCAACCCTTTGCGGCCGGTTTAGGGACACCCCTTTCCCTCTTACACACAACTGGGTAGGCCTAGTTGCAGCTGGCTGTGCCTGCTTTCAGACAACGTGGGATAAGGTGCGGAGTCCGTTGATCACCGCATCATCCCCTTCTGGGTGTTTCCGTCGCGTGCCATTCTTATCGCCTTCATCATAGCCATTACTTCGTTCTCCTCCGGACCTCCTCCGACTCCACCGTGCACTTCATCCCGCTCGGCCATCTCTTCACTGTTACTGACACCCAATGTGCCAGTAACGCTGTGTTCTCTGATTTCCTTCCTTATTAAACTGGGTCCAAATGTATTGTATATTGTTATTTTTGACGTCCCTATTCCCCAACAAACGACGTTCTGACTTGCGCTTGCTTGCACAGTTATCGGGCGATCTTGTGTTGTCTGAAGTTAGCACCTTGTTCCCAGCTAATCTTTGTGGGCTGAACACAACTCAGTTATCCCCTTTGGTTCCTATTACTAGCCCTGCCCATCCAGCCCAACACGGAGATGGGTGCCGTCACAGCTGAGGTGGAAACCGCCATGGCTGCCGAAGGCGCCAAAGCAGGGGAACAGGATGGGCGGCCGGGGGCAATGCAGCTGCTGCAGCCAGGGATGGCGCCGGCGTCAGGCAGCGGGCTGCAGCAGGTAAATGAACATGTCAGGCTGCAAGCCACGGGTTTGTACAGGTGCCAGGGTGACAGCCGAGCCCCTGAACAGGAGCTGGGTTGCCTGTCGTACACGCACATATGTTAGGGTACGGCACATGGTGCAAGTCATGTTGTGTGATGGCCAGCTCATGAAAACCCAGTCGCCTGCCTTTGTTCATGCTGGGCACAAAGCCACCCCTGAGCCTTGCTTTCAGTTACTCACGGCCCGCCCCCACCCTTGCCATGTCCCTCTTTCCTCCGTTCTGCCCTGCCCATCCAGCCCAACACGGAGATGGGTGCCGCCGCCGCTGAGGTGGACACTGCCATGGCTGCCGAAGGCGCCAAAGCAGGGGAACAGGATGGGCGGCCGGGGGCAATGCAGCTGCTGCAGCCAGGGATGGCGCTGGCGTCAGGCAGCGGGCTGCAGCAGGTAAACGGACATGTCAGGCTGCAAGCCACGGGTTTGTACAGGTGCCAGGGTGACAGCCGAGCCCCTGAACAGGAGCTGGGTTGCCTGTCGTACACGCACATATGTTAGGGTACGGCACACGGTGCAAGTCATGTTGTGTGATGGCCAGCTCATGAAAACCCAGTCGCCTGCCTTTGTTCATGCTGGGCACAAAGCCACCCCTGAGCCTTGCTTTCAGTTACTCACGGCCCGCCCCCACCCTTGCCATGTCCCTCTTTCCTCCGTTCTGCCCTGCCCATCCAGCCCAACACGGAGATGGGTGCCGCCGCCGCTGAGGTGGACACTGCCATGGCTGCCGAAGGCGCCAAAGCAGGGGAACAGGATGGGCGGCCGGGGGCAATGCAGCTGCTGCAGCTAGGGATGGCGCCGGCGTCAGGCAGCGGGCTGCAGCAGGTAAATGGACATGTCAGGCTGCAAGCCACGGGTTTGTACAGGTGCCAGGGTGACAGCCGAGCCCTTGAACAGGAGCTGGGTTGCCTGTCGTACACACACATATGTTAGGGTACGGCACATGGTGCAAGTCATGTTGCATGATGGCCAGCTCACGAAACCATATTATTTTCATCCATATAATTCATCCATATGCAGTTTCCTAAAATCTCAGGTCCGGAAAGTGTCCAGGGTCATCAAGGACCGAATTTCTTCAGCATTCCAACCTAAGCTTGGATGAGGAGCATGCTATTTGTATAGCCAAACAAAAGGAATTCCTTGCAAAGCTAGGACTTCAAGCCATTGTTGACAATATCCAATCGCCTCGCTCGCCTATCAGACGACAGAGTACCCACTCAGCTCCATTGGAGACTCGCAGATCCACTAGGCTTACTGTCTTATCATCAAAGCTTAGCAAGCAACAAGTGAAGGTATGTGGTGTCCCAACGGGTGGTTAAAGATACCTAGGCGGCGGACCCTACTTTAGGGTTCTCATTTCCTTCCTCTGTGAAAGATCTCAGTTCATAAATATTTACAATGTTTATTGTCATATTGGGTTTAACAATATTCTCTGCTGCAGATGCCGACCCATGCTGCAGAAGCGGCTGTCGTCGAGGACACTGCTGCAGTGGTGGTGAATCACGATCCTGAGATGCATCTTAAAATTTTCTCAGACCAACACAAAACTTGGGCGGAGATGCACAACCTGGATTTGAAGGCCGACGAGGGCCAGCTCCTTGCGGCCATCCTCCAGTGGCCTGAGCAGTATAAACCCTACTGTGGGAGTGAGGGCTCCTTTCATCACTCCTTTGCAGTATGTGGAATTCTGGTGGCGAATGGCATGTATGCCCCAGACTTTAACAACCCCAAGCTGCAGGCTATCAACCACTTCACTGAGGACATGAAGTCTGCCCTGCTGTCTGGGGGGCTGAAGCAGTTTGAGCTTGCACTCCTTCTTGCGGGTCTGAATGTGTAACAGCCGTCTCTTACCTTAGCTGTTTTAGCGGAAGTAGAGGGTCTCGTCCACGATTGGCGACCCAGCGTTAGGCGTGAGAAGAGACAAGGGAAGTCGGGATTCGAAGACATACGTCGAGAACGGTGACAGCAAGGTCTTGAACCCTGAACACTAGTATAGTGATACGTTAAGTGTCTGGCCGAAGCACTTCACCTGGGTGGCTTAAATGCGGCCCACCTGCCGCCATCTCCATTCCTGGAGTCTTGGTGTCGTACGCTAGGTTGTGATAGCGTACCAGAAAGTGAGTTCGTACAGTTAACGAGTATGGTTCGTAAATACGGGACCGTACCGTTACTGTGATTAAGCTTTAATAGCTTAAAGATATTCTAAGGTAAATGTAGCTTGCTACATCCCTCCCCCTCAGAAGCGAACCGTCTCGGGAGCGTCACCTTTTCTTGCGAGCAGGTGCT